TTTTGTAAATTTTCAAATATCATGTGACATAAACATTGTTTAAAGATTTGATATATCAAATTTCATGGGTGTTTTTGTTTTTATAATATATCAAAAATTATTTTATTTCAGTATTGTCATTTAATTATTTATTGCATTTGATAGATGTTTTAACTTGAATGTGTAGCGTAATACTTATGTGTTTGCATTATGTTCGATTACTAGTCCATGGATTGTGTGTGTCCGTTTTATTACAGATTGTTAAAAAGTTGTTTTATTATGTATATCGAATAGAACTTTCTACACTAGCATACGCACTTTACATGTAGAGAGGACATTTTGAGCGATGTTATTTTTGTTTTACACAAAATGTATGTAAAGTAGTTCTGAGAGGCTGCAGAAAGGATTATTCATTGGTTGATGTATACGTGATCATTTATAATTATATATACGATAACGAACGCCAGTTTCATCACGACGATTATATTTTATATTTAGTCATCAAAATCACTGACTGTAAATTAATAGCGACTTAGGTATAAGAAAATAATGTAAACTAATACAAATTAAGTACGTATAAATTTCTCCACCGCAAGACACCGCATCCACTGTATTTTTTCCAGAGTTTTAGTATTATATACTTCAACACACATTGATTGTTTTGTTATATTTCATTGAAGTTTTATTAAAAATTATTTGAATGAGAAATGGAACTTTTGCTGGTTATGATTTACAGGAATGTGACATTGTAAATTAAATTGTGTTTAAATTTTGCGATGGGCAGGATCCCCCCCTTTATATGTGGACGGATATCATGAGTAGTCCTGATAAAATTTAATTAACTGAATTTACACGGGATGGAAACATTGTAAGCTGATTAGCATTTGACAGGGTGCTGAGGAAGCTTACATTATGTATTAAGAGTTTCTTTTCATTGAGCGTACTATTGTGCTTCATTTGATACTGAAAGTTCTGAAATTCTGGTAATAAAAAACTTGAAATAACAAATTTCACTAAAATTAGAAAAAAAGTTTAAAACTTTACCAAAAAATATTTATGATACCGTTACCTTCATTTGGATATTTGACGTCTACATTGTAAGTTGTGCTGTAGTGAAGTCTATTAAAATAAACTGTTGCTGCACAGAGTCTCCTTTAATCGACCACTCTGTCTCTTGAAAACGGTTTTCACATAACCTATCCAAATTATACCTATTGATTGCAAGACTGTTTTTAAACTTATAATTTTGTAAATTTTCAAATATGATCTAAACCACTGTTTAAAGATTTAATATATCAATTTTCATGGGTGTTTTTGTTTTGCAGGTATATCAAAAATATCTGAGTTTCCACTGTCCACAGAAGGTATTTATTGCACGTTATAGATTTATAATAACAATAGAATTAGGAGACAAATCTCCGCGGATTGAATAATGATTGAGATCTAGTCAGTGAGTTTTGACAGCTTTTTATTCCCCATTTTAAAAAGTGAGTTATCTCCCCTCAAAATCGGAACTCTTCTACACTAGCATAGCTTCCGCGGACTACGCATTACTAATCCAACAAAATAGTGATCAACTTACACGCTGCATTTAAAAAATTTAAAAGAAGGAAACGGTTTGCATTTTTTTTAAAATAATGAATTATTTTATAAAGGGTCTGTTAGCCCCCCCCCCCTTTCTAGAAAGCTATAGCCAAGCACGTAGCATCGTCTTTAAAAGTGGGGGGGGAGCCAAAGAAATATTTTTTTTTTTCTTACCTGGAAAAGTTGACAAGCAAAGAAAAACCTTGCCCAAAGTCGAAAAAGCTACTTATTTCAGTACCAGTTCCGTGGCATACAATACTACATATCCCTTATATAACTTTACCGTAGTATAAACTGTGGGTGGGGTGGGGATGGCAACCTGTCTATCAATGAACATTTTCAATAGAAAAAGTAATGTTGGGAAAAAAGTGAGGGTGGGGCTTTTTCATATGACAGAGGCATTACACCATGAACATGTTTACATCAAGAACGTCCGCGGAAGTGACTTTATTTATAGTGCATGCGTATTAAACACAGTAAAAGAGTTCCCTTCAGGGGAAATAACTCACCTTTTGAAATGGGTAATAGCGCCAGATGACTTTTGACGTCAGACGTCTAACCATGCACGGTTCTGTAATGGGATCATTTTAAAGTGAGGATTTTGCAATATTGTAAAAATGGACTTAAAACTGGAGAAATTAAAATGTTGTTCAAATTTCATTAATGCTTAAATGTGGCTCAAATTACAATCGAGAGTACAGATCCCTGACTTTTACAATAGACTTTTAAAAGTTTTTAAGACTTAAAACGTGTGGTGTGATATAAGACATGGATTTTCTCCCCTTAAATACGGCTTAAGTTTGCAGTGAATAGAAGTCACTTACCTCTATATTTACATTTTACATTCACAAAATTACAAATTGTAAAACTTCTTTATTTCTACATAAATTTACTGGTTTATCGATATGTGCGGTTAAAAAGAATCATGTGCGGGCGGGGAATATGAGTGAATATAAGGAATAGCTATCAGATTTTTTTTTTGTATTTCATGACTTTTATCAATGGATTGCTTTGGGGTTTATGCAAATCATCACACAAGCCACTCGATTGATCACATCATGAAACCATAAAAATTAGACAATTTCTCCTCAGTTAAATAACACCATATTTTGCCTTCTTGGGGGCATGTATTTTATAATATAGTATTACATGTTTCTCCTGCATTTGAGAGCTATGTCTCCTAATATTCCCATCCCTGATATCAGAGGTTATATTTGCTGTGCTCAAAATTTGAATTGTACGATTGGACCGTTGAGCATGATTATTGTTAGTTATCACCTATTCCCTAATTATACTTTCCTTTCCTGAAAATAGATTCTCCTGAATTGAACTGAATTTATTGATCTCTTCACAATTTTACAATTGTATGGCGAGATATATATAAATGTATACTATAATGATGACAAATAAAAACACATATATGGCATTCATGAGTATGAGGATAGACAAAAAGTACAATCATAGGTTTAGATCTTTACTAGTTTTGGGAGGACGTTTTAGTAATTTTTTTTAACAAATATACACAGTTTTCTTAAAAATGACTGTTCATCTGAATTCATTATTTCTCGAAATGTAATTGTATTTTTGAATCGTAATCGTTTTTTTTGTGTTAAACATTTATTTCTTTCACGTGTCATCGACGTACACTTTGATATGTAATGGAATTCATCTCCTATTTCATTTAATTGACATTTCTTACATAATCTAATCTCTCTTAGTTCATTAAACCAATTTCAGTTTCAATTGGCAAATGATGATTACAAGTACGAAATTTGCAGAAATTTATGGCCTCTTTTCGTGATAGAATTTCTAAATATTTTTCAAACTATAGTTCGTCTTTGAATATTATATAATTTAGAGTCTTTGATAAATTTTGAACATTCAATTTCATTGATCTATTAAGGTTAGTTTTACTTTCGCTCTTAACCAATTTGGATTTAAGGCTTGACTGTTCCAAATATTTGAAAGTCCACAATTGTAGTTTTACTTTCGCTCTTAACCAATTTATTTTACTTTCGCTCTTAACCAATTTGGATTTAATGCTTGACTGTTCCAAATATTTGAAAGTCCACAATTGTTTAAAATATGCAAGACAATATTTATCCAAGAAATCTTCTTAGTCTTTTTATTTACAATATCACTTGATTTAAACAGCGGACTTCGCAGCACAGTTAAGGTTAAAGTAAGGAAGCGGGGCCTAATCTGTACGGGAAATATTTACCATGACGTCACACATAATATAAGGTCTTCAAAATACCACAAAATGAAATAATTCGCTATTTAAAACAGCTGGATAGCTGTATACTACTAACAGACTTACTATTACATGCAGCTTTGTCGTTTGTTAAAGCCCACACAACAGTATATAAACGATGCATCGATCGCAATGCACTTGTCAATGTGACGTCATCTCGCAAATATGACGCAGTTTGTACACAGTGAAAGACTGATCAAGTCACATTTTGTACAATGAAACTGTCTTTTATTCTCAAATGAAATATTATTTGCAATTAAATAAAAGGCCGTTAACTTGGATGCCATATCTATTTTAGTATTTTATTTATAAACTGTCCGTATATTCTCCAGACAAGTGTTGCTGTCGTGTGTTTGTATACAGATTCATTGACAACGTAATGGAAGGGCCCTAATAAATCGATTTGTTGCAAGGGCATACCCTCAAAATATCTTGTCAAGTTTTTACACATAAATTCAAAAAGCATTAAGAAATATGAAAAGTGCTGCGAACCTCATGAAATCTTGCAAATAAATTAATTATAGCTATATTTAATGTAGTTGACGAGCAAAATATTCAACCTCCCGTCCTACAAATTAAATTTTAGGAATTAAAAAATGGAATCTATATAGATTCGCAGCACTTTTCACAAACTACATATAGTGTTGAAAAGGATTATACATTAAACTAAGATTTTAAACTAGGTTATGCCCTTGCAATATTGGAATTTATAGGTGACCTCTAAACTGCAATTATCATTGCTAAATTCATGTGACGTTGACATCACGTGACAAGTCTAAATAAAAAATTTAAATGTCATCAATATGTAGATTTAAACCACATTACATTTTTTAGATATCAGTGAAGTCCTAAAAAGAATCGCCCATCCTAATAAAGTATATATTTTTTATCTTAAAAAATCGTCAATATTTCCATTTGTAACCTTAACTGTGTTGCGTTGATATTTTTGTTTCTTTTCCAAGTTTAAGTTTACACCATTACACTATAATAAAATACCCAAATAATTAATTTCATTTACAACTTCAATCAGCTGTTCGCCGTATTCAAATGCAGGCTTTTCTTTTTTCGTTCCTTTACTTATTATCAAAACTTTTGTTTTGTTAATATTGATCTTTAAAATCAATTCAATTTTCTGCGATATATATTTCAAAACAATTCATTTTTGCTTGTAAGTGCTCGGCAGATTAAGCTATCAATACGGTGTCATCGGCATATAATAGTGCAAATAATGCCAAATACACATCCAAATGTTGTTCAAACATAACTGATATAGTAGGTAAACCAATTGACATATTTTGTTTGAAAAAAATCTGTAGGTCATTTAGATAAATTGAAAATAAAAAAGATGACAAGTTTTCACCTTGTCTGACACCATTTTCACAAAAAAATCAGTAGCGTTAATATCATAGGCTATTCTTGATTTGATTTGATTATACATATTCGAAATAACATTGTACATATTCCAGGTTTACCAAGCATAGTCCAGCAGGATATGACAGGAAAATTAGATCAGACAAAGTTGTTTAGTAAGTTGAGAATAAATGAATGTTGAAATATTAATGATCTTGAAAGGGTCTTTTTTTTACAGTACATAGATACTGATGTAAATCAATAACTATTAACTAATTATCTTTTTTTTCAGTTTCCATAGGATCTACAATGGTTGTGCTTTTCGTTGGCATCCTAATTTTTAGCGTGATAGCAACGAGGTACGTACCAATTTCTTCGATTCACAAAAAAATTATTGTTTTCTTTTTTTCTCAGCAGGATTTGGGGTATGTTTTTTTCTCAATTATGATTATCGAACAGTCATATTCTTCAAACACAATTCCCATACGCATTTAAACTTCAAACGAAATATAATAGCTATACATTAGGAACTATCATTCTAATCTTTAAATCTACTCTTAGTTAGGATTAAGTATTGCTTTTAGTGATCCTTTAAAGGATTGAAAAATCCCATACATTATGTATTTGATACTTCTGTACAAATATGTGCTAATTTGTGATCCTATCACAAATCAAAAATAAAACAATAAGAGTGAAATCAATGCATTTTTAACAAGACCAAAACAGACTTCAATTCCCCACTTAACTATCGCTTTGTTTATATGTATGTAAGAGTGATTTTTCAAGAAAATCAGGTAGTAAATGATAAAAAAATGATTTACAAATAAGAAATAACAGATATAATTACCAATAATTATATGACACAGAACATTTGCAATGAATAGCAAACACGTGAAAATAAAACTTAGAAAATAAAATGAAAAGAATATTTGTAATATTTTGAAGACGCAAAGCAAGTGTTGATTTTATTGTATATTTTGTTACAGAAAAATGCTCTTGAAAAAAAGACGCAAAGAACTCTTGCGCCTCCCTACTCTTCCGAGAACAGATTCTAGTCCATATGAAACCAAATTTACCTTCTCAAATGATCCGCACAGTAATCCCGATTATGAAATTGTTGAAGAAGAAGAGGAAAATTATGAAGATTTGCAAGAACGAAGGGAAGAAAGCAAAACTACAAATGACAAGGAGCGAATGAGTGTAGAATCTTACGTGGATCCTAAACACCTAGAGGTTAACTATCAAGAAGTAGTGCATTCCTCAAATGAGAAAAGTTATGAGAATGTTAATCCCTACATAGAGTTGATAGATGATTCAGTTGAAAGCATGGCTACAAGGGCAGAAAACGAATCTCCAATTGACAAAGAGCGAATGAGTTTAGCTTCTTACTTGGATCCTAAAAATCTGGAGAGTATTTATCTTGAAGTAATGCAGTCTTCAAAAAAGTAATACAAATGTAAATCCCAACACAGAGTTGATAAATGATTCCGTTGAAAGTACGGTTAGAACGCAAGTTAATGATGACGTGCAAGAAAATGAAGAATACAGTAGCAGCCCTAAAAATGCAAAACAGGAGATTGATGATTAGAAGAAATATTGAAACCAAAGTTAACTTTACTTGTAAAAGATTTTTTTTTATTTATTGATGTCAATGTCTTTCTAAACATTAATAATTTTCAAAACGAACTCAATATGTAAATAAAAAAAGGAAAGAAATAAAGCATCTAATGTTTTGTAAAATAAGCGATGAAAAGAGTTTCATTGTGTGTTTCACAGGAATTAAATCATAGTCTTAGATATTAGCAATGGACTTTGGTTTGTATTTTCGCACTCTAACAATTTTCTAATACCCTATTATTTTGTCATTTACATTTCTTTAATAAGATGTCCAGATCCAGAGATAAGATATATAGGGAGAAACGCTATTATAATACTTAATATATTTCTCTTGATTTTTATGATAAATATTCGTATTCAACTGCATAATAAAGATATTCAAAAATCATAATTATTTTGTGTTTAAAATAGGCATAAAACAAAGATTCACGTTGGAGTAGGTAATGGCAGAAATTTTTTTTACTGATCATGGCAGTACATTGTTAGTGCCGAGTATAGGTTTGAATGAACAGCCCTGGAGCACATGTTTTTCTTTTCAGTATTATAGTTTCTATTTCTCAAAGGGGCTTTTAACAACTAACCACCAAAAGAAATAAATCAGACTGGTTTTGGATGCTATACAATATTCTTAAACGAATGATATTGATAAATTTTACTTTACTGCATTTACTATTCAGTGGATATGAAATACAATGTAAAATATGGTAACATAATTCCGAGTAGAACAGTTTTAATGAATGTACAATATTGAATATATGCATGATTTAATGGAGTGTCAACAAGTTTTTAATTATGTCCCGTGCATGAAAATTTCCATCTCACCAAGAAAAAGAGCTGACTTCCTATCGTAAATGAATCACTGGACTAGTTAAGTGTTTTGATGTTCTGTAAATCAACATTTACATAACATTTCTAGAAGAAATATTTTTGAAATGGTCTGGGTTATAAATTATTTCAACAATCCGAAATAAAAATCCCGGTCGTTAAGGTCAGATGATAAATCCCCCAAATGTATAATTTCTAAACTGGTTTCTAATTGGTTTTAAAAATTTGAAACACTAAAAGATTTTTGTCCTAAAAGGATTATATGAGAAATGTCATCATTTTGTTTCTCGAACAAATGCCTGATAAGGAACATCAAATTTAAGTAAGTACACATGTAAGAGTAGTATTTTAAACAATAAAATGCTTTCTTTGTTTGTTATTACTGGAATTAACGGAAGCAGCTCTTGCAGAAAAAAATACATAACCCGCGTAACAAACAAAGACATTTTATTGTTTATATAAAAAAATCAATTATTGTATTAATGATGCGAACGTCTTTTTACTTTTCATTGATGGAACAGCCACTGATCAAGAACTCTGTATAGGCGACATGTCTAATGTAGTTCATGCAATGATTAAAGCAATGAGTTTTATTAAGAAATAAAGGAGAAAATATACAGTGGATGTAAATATTTTTTCTATGAGAAACATTTTCAATGAAAAAAAAGATGTAAAGTGGTATTAATATGTTACACAACTTTGATAAAACTTAAAAAAAACTTTTTCAAAAACGAGATGAATCCGGGCTGTCCATTTACAACTGTCCGTATCAATGTAATAACTTCCTGCTATCATCTGCATTGGTGTTTACTCTTCTAAAACTAATCCAATGCTGGTAGAATTGACGTAATGTTGAATTTTAACGAGGTTGTTGAATTCCTCATAGCATCAACCTATCTCTCAGTAGCCTGCTTGAGTTTCTAGGATTGAACATCCACAGAGCAATGGCCAAAGCAAATTCATGAATTTAGCAATTATTGTATTCTTAAAAAAATGTTTATGGTTATTGATAAGATTTCAAATAATGATCGAGATGTACATTCCAAGCAAGAAACTGCATAGGGGAAAATAACTCGCGGTGTTGATATTCGCTATATTCACGGTGTAAATAAATCCTTGATTGCAAGAAACATTGAATAAAGAGGTCGGGTCACTTTATGCATAAAATGGCCCTGTAGTTAACCAATTGATTGTTAACACTTTATTTTCTATTTGAAGCATTCAAATAAAATAGAGACTTTGTGCTTTCATTTCCTATCAAAAATTTTCTCCTAAAAATCCAGGTTGTGGACAACTGGCTTTATGAATTTGCAATATTCTTGAATTTTCAGGTAAACAGGTATAATTGAGTTCCTTCAATGGAGAAAAATAATGTCAGCGAACTCTCTGATCTAGAAGATAAAACATGTCTTTTAATCTCCAGAAATAGTTGTATCATTTAGTAGTTGCACATTTTAGTTCAGAGGTTACGCTCTATATCTAATATCGAAAAATAGCTTTAAAATTGTATTTTTTATATAGACTTTTTCAGAATATGAGGAAATTGACGCATTTCGTGACGTCATAATGCATTGACTAGCTTGAAAATTACGTCATTTTTTTATAGATACGCAGTCAGCAAATATCTATGTGCTATCCAATGCATTGTTTAACTAAAACTATGCAGTTTCAGTTTTTCAGAAATCCACAGGGCCAAATAAGGCAAAAGTGAACCTTGTTCTTTTCAATGATCTCCATGATTATTTAGAAATTTAAGAATATTTAAACAACGATAGCTTTATATACATGTTCAAACAGTTCATGCTCATTTCAGAAAGTACAGGTTATACTTGAAAAAAAAAACTGTTTCAATAGACAACGCCACAGTTTCATCAATCAAAACTCGTGGGCCATGGGTTTTGAGTATATGAATTCGTACGCCTTTATTTTACTTTTTACATTATCCTGTCTATGCTACATCTATAAAAACACATCATGGGCGTTGGAAGCAAATTGAAAGAGGGGTTTATCGAAAATGGGGGACTAAACCAACAAAAAAAGGTAATTCTCATTTTTAATACATATATAATGCCTATTTTGAAAACAAAAGTGG